GATTTGTCATAATTTCTCACTTACCTCCGTCGTGTGACTGAAGATCAGTGTGATCATCTCTGATATCGTCTGTACTCTCGTAGATAGCCACCGTTCTTTCTTCCCACTCTACATTGTCCTCCTGCACCTTTCTGTTGTATCTCACCTTCTTTGAGAAATCTGGTTTGGCATAAATATCTGAGGACATCTTGAGAGGACTGAGACAGTTGAACAGTAGCTGCACTTCACTTCCTGTAACTGCTCTGTGTTGATTGGTTACTATGCTGCTGTAAACCTTCAATGTGTACAAGTATACTCTGCAGGACTAACTGTAGTAGATATACTACTGTACCGATGCTACTGTCCGTCTTGCATAACCCGGCTTCTGTCTGGTTTCAGTAGAGAAAAATGAGGAAGTAGCAGCAAAGAAACACACACTCACTTTTTATTCATTTGACTCTTCTGGATCCGGTTTGGTGGTTTTTGTAACTTCAAATAATCATTTTAAAAATGATGTTAGAGATACAACAACAATACACATGTTTTAAATGAGCAACCCACATTTTTTCACACCATGGCCAACATTGCTAACCCACTCTCTCTCTCTCTCACACTCACACACACACACAGCAGATTAACAGTTTGCCCTAAACAGGAAATGTCAGTCATTTTCTAGACTGAAACCATTTTTCATCCAAGTTGTAAAGTTTAATAAAGTTAAAATGCCAATCCTAAACCTATGACAGTTGATAAAATACATACATGTTGGCCTCCAAGGTCACCATGAAACTCTGAATAGATCTGTTTCTCATTGATTGGATCCTGTGTTGTTGTCCATGTTCCATGCAGATTGTTATGCTGTGGACCCGGGCCTGTCCTCGGGCTTTACATTCACTGCTATCCGCCAGACCGTGTAGAACAGAACGAGCACTATATTGTTATTGGGAAAAGCCACAAAACGCATTGAAATTATTGATGTAAGATTATATATGCAGTTCTTGTGCTCAGAAAATTGTATTGTGGACTGAAACTTCATATTCAGTTTGTCTTGATATGTACTCCACAGAAGAAGAGTTTCAGAAAGTGAAAACATTTTTCTTTATTATTCCCAAATCAAGGGGAAAACAATATTTCACAGTGTTCAGCTTTTAGTAAAGAGAGCAGTACAGAGGAGGATTGATATGAACATGTTGGTGCCCTCATGTGGTGGAGCAGTAGACTGCAGATTCTTTAAACTGAGCTACGAAGAGCCCAAATCAGCAGCTTTTGACTTCTTAAAACAAACCATGATTCAAGTTCAGAGTGTGGTGGAGCAAATCATTTCAAATTCAGTTCTTCAGATGTAGATTACGTACAGGGATTTGGGAGAAAATGGTACAAATTTAAAACAAACTAAATAATTTTCACCTCAACAGCTACACAGATGTAATCTTGCATTGGTGTCGAGTTAAAGCCATGGGTTAAATTGTTTAGTGATTATCATTGTATGAACACGTCAGACTCACATAGTGCTTATTTATAGAAAACATCATATCTGAAAACATGATTGACTTGATAGAAAATGAGTTATTTAGTTTTATCTTTCAGTTTCATCAAATTAGCAGCTTTAAACATTGACCCTGACATATCACGTTTTCAAAAAATCTGAATTTATTGGTGTTATATGTTGGTGTTTATCCATCCACCCATTTCCATTTGACCTTACAATCCTTTCTTTTCACCGATTGCATGTTTAGAACATCTGTGATGGAAAGAAATGCTCCACGGTTTGGTACCATGTACCAATACCAGGAAGTACTTCTTTGTCAGGGACAACAAACATTAATCACAATCAGAAATACTTTATTGATCCCAGAAGGGGAATTCTTGTGTTGCACACATTGCACATCAAGGCAAAAGGAATATAAATGATAATAGAAAGTTGGTATATAAAGAATCCAACGAAGGTTAAAATCAAGGGCAACTGGACTTGGTTGAAGATACTGGAAGACGTTTCGTCCCTCATCCAAAGGACTTCTTCAGTTCTGACTGACTGGCAGGGAAACTCAGCTATTTAACCTCAGTGGGGTCGTTGGCCCGGGTCATCGATACCGCTGGTTCGTTAGTGTTCCTGGTTGCTGTGACGACAGTCGTTACAGTCGTTAAGACTACCTGTGGCCAAGACTGAACGACCATCGTTGGCATCTTCACCTGAGGCCAATAGGTTACGTTTGTTGAGTTTCCTGGGAAGTGATGAAAGGACAGCATTGTAAGTGGGGGATAAGTGGTGGCGTAGACCCCCTCCCCTGTTCAATGACGGCTTCTCAACCCGGGTGTAGACGGCTTCCTTGACACCTCTTTCAAACCATCCATCTTCCAGTATCTTCAACCAAGTCCAGTTGCCCTTGATTTTAACCTTAGTTGGATAACTATGACCTGGATGACTGAGAATCTTCATAGACATCCGGTATATAAAGAAGTATGTAAAAATATAAAAGAAAAAGAAAATATATGTTGGCATCATTTACTAATACTGTTACATCAATTAAAGATGGTAAAAGGTCTTCATTAATACACGTAAGTCAAACCACAACTGTAAAACACTTTTAGATTTGACAGCATCACAAGCAGGAAATATGTTTTTCCTAAAAAATACCAGCTGTTTGTGAACTGCGAGCATTTTATTACTTGATTTTTTGTTTTCTAATTGATGGCCAGAGCCGTCACCACAGTACGCATTTGTCTTTCATTTTTTATTGTTTTGCTGCATTATGAGAACATTTGGTCCATTTTGTTAGTTTGTCTAAGGTTACAGGATGTATTTGAAGCAGCCTGTGAGAGAAGATAATGTACGTCACAGTTTTAAGGCTACAGTTAAATCTTATACAGGCTTGAGGACAAACAAATATTATCAGTATCAATATTATACCACTTATGTACAAATATAATTTCTAGCTGAGCCTCTAATTTGAATACACACATTCAGTTCTTTTGATATTAACAGTAATATTTAAGATAAGATATAACTTTATTAATCCTCCGTAGGGGATATTTCAGTCGATATAGCAGCACAAAGGAATATAAAGTACACATGCAGTATGATAGAAATAATAAAATTTAGTTTTGATTCTACAGTGTTTAATATTTACGTAACTCCATCCAGAAAGTGTCCACACCTTTGTAGAGGTTGACCAGTCTGTCCACTCTCTGTTCTTTATTTTCTTGCATGCAGAACGAGAGCGTGTAGGTAGTTTCTCAACTGACTGCGCTTAAGATAATGTTGATATTAAACAGTTCTTCATAACACTAGATCACAGTCAGTGACAACAATTTAGAAGGTTTACCATATTTATTTCTACAGTTGTGTTGCGTTGTAGTTTTTGTAGATTTGGTCAACATTATGCAACTAAAACACTTACCCAGAGGTGTAGGTATAGAGAGTGCAGGCAATGCACCCGCACTGGGACCTGTGACGGGGGGGGCCCGCCAGGTCACGAGCTGGACTTTGATAGTTGCATGGTCAAAATGCATCTGGACTCATCATTAATCAGCAGACTCCCAGTTTACCTCTTACCATTATGGTGACAGTAAGATCAAGTGGTACGCTTTAAGAGTCTTCTTCTGTGGTTAGAGAAAGTGTGTAGCTACTGTGTTGTTAGTTTATAACATTGAGTTAGGAAGAGTTAATATCATGAGACCATGTGGGGACGCTTTTGTGTAGTAGCCTTGGCTGGTCAGAGGGTGTCGCCATTACTTGCTCCATATGTGAACCCCTTTTAATATAGTCTCAAACTGGTTAGTTAGATTTACATTTACATTTATTCATTTAGCTGACGCTTTTATCCAAAGCGACTTACAATTGCTATACATGTCAGAGGTCGCACGCAACTAGGGGTCTGGAGCATCTAGGGGTTAAGTGTCTTGCTCAGGGACACAATGGTGGATGTGTCAAAGTGGGGAATTGAACCCGGGTCTCTCACACCAAAGGCATGTGTCTCATCCATTGTGCCATCACCACCCTAGATACATGAAGCTCCTTATATCTTTCCAAAGAGTAATATCCTTTAAATGACAGTACCTAATGGTGACTTATTTGTTTTTTATCAGACTATAATGAGAATGATGGATATTGGAATATTCTGATGAGCACTGCAGGAGCTCAGTACAGTTAAAAGAAGAAATCACATCTCCTCGTCTTCATTCCTGTGTCCTGACCGATACACCACCCGGTTTACTGACTGAAATCCTTGTGAACTAGCTGCTTAATTGCCTCTCTAACAATAGTAATAATCTTTATTTATGGAGCACCAAAAACAAGTTACAAAGTGCTTTAACAAGTGCAAAGGCAATAAAACACATAAAAACAAATACATGATAAGATCAAGAAAACACTAAAATACACGTTAAAAGTAAATATCTGTGCGTGTGAGGTTCGTAACTGTGCAGCCCAGCGGCCATCATAACATCCTGCATTGGGCACCGTTGTTAATGTCTTACGCTACTGCTTATACTTGGCCAGTTCAGGCATCTTACATTTACATTTAAGTGTCTTGCTCAAGGACACATTGGTGTCTTGCAGTGGATTTGAACCCGGGTCTCTCACACCAAAGGCAACCAAATCCGCTGCGCCATCACCACCCATCTTGTGTGAATTAGATTGATTTGAATTACCAACAAAACCCAAAGCGTAAATGCAACCAAGCATTCAAGAGATACTGAAATCTGATTTACCATCTGATGCATTCTTCACTCCAAAACACATTCATAATCTTTACTCTGCCCAAGTGTAGCTACATCAGTGTGGAAGTAACCGACAGAAATTATACATTTTTCCCCTGTCGTTATGTAAATGACGTCTCCAGCTTTGTAACATCCCTCTCTGCAGAGAGGGTAAGTGCACATGTGCTGTGTGGATGACTTCTAACCAGACTGTATCAAACAAACAAACAATATCTATGTAATCCAGGTTGTTCAGGATGAAACACAGAATGAAGAAATGTAAAATGTGAGTTGGTCTGATTTGAAAAAGTTACCCTGTCACTACACACCCCTCTGTCATGAAGGAATACAGGAAATCTCTTTCTCACAGATCCAGTTCTTTTGATCATCATATCTGCTATGTGTCCATTTTCCTTGTTGATCGCAGCATGCTGCAGCGTACTGGTCCCAGGGCTGGTGTGAAAATCCGGCTGCCCCGAACCTGTAGGAGAAATAAAATGTTATTTTCGAATTTCTGATTATTTGAAGCAAGTTGTTGGATTTCACTTCATATATTTTATTATCGGTAATACATAATAATAAATTTTTTAAAAACTTGTTTAGCATGTAATTCAGTTTATTAATTTAATATAATGACACAAAACTTTTAAAACGTCTCACATTTTTGTCAGCGGCGAGCTGTCCACCCATTTCCATTCCCATTTCCGTTTCCATTCCCGTCCTGTTTTTATAAATCTTTCTATGGCCCTAAGACCAATCCAGGAGTCTCCACCCTTGTTCAACTCAATGACACATTTCTAGGATTTGACAAGAGGCAAAATCATTTCTCTGTTCCTAATTCTTAATTCAAAACTGGTTTGAATACAGCATTTTAAGTTACAACAATAAGAAAAACTGAGTCACAAGATGACAGGTGGATGTTTCCTTTTCTGTGTGGGGGATTAGCCTGCGTTATTGCTCTGCTGCTGTGGTAGTTTCCCCTTCAGACCGTCTGACAGACACAGAAGCACGTTTGGGACTGTATGTTAGGATGAGACAAGGAGGTGGAAACTAAAACTACCTGAAAACACTTTCAGGCAGAAATCTCACCACAAATGTGAACTTCAGCACCTCCGATAAAGCTCACAGACCCAAACAGAGCCAGTTTGCTCCTCAGTTTTTAGATGGTTATAATGCAAAACTCTACTGAAACATTGTTTTTCAAGTTTTTTCTTTCAAATTTATAACCTTAGTCTCAGAGAATATTCAAGTGTTTTTTTGTCTTCGCTCCGTAATGTTTTTTATTTCCACCTACAATGGCCCTAATGCATCGTCATAGGAAGCCGACTGGCTGCAGGTCAAAAACAGAAGTAACAGATCACTGGCAGCTACATCTAAGATCACACACTCAGTAACAAACACACTCACCTGTTCCTCTTTGTTGTTTATGATCACCAGATCTGCTCCTCTACTTTGACAGTCTCTTCTGCTGTCAGACCAAGTTTTCGTCTCATTGGATTTAAAGTAACAGCTGAATCCAAATCTCTTCCATCCTTCAGGACAACACTTCTCTTCATGTCGTTAAAAGATGGATTTTATGTCATTCACTGTTTAAATCGATAAAAATGTTCTTAAATATCTTTCTTGCCTGCTTGTTTATTCTATAACTACAATCTCATTTTTAACAGAAATAAACACAAATAAACACTTTGCAAACAGCCCAACAGCATCAAATAATTATAAAGTAATGAAAAAGTTAAATTATTAAGTGAATTTTTTCACTGTTCATCACCTTTAATTTTGTCCTTCAGCTGCTTTACTTCATCCTGTAACTGGCTGTGATTTTTCCTCAGTGTCTCGTAACTGCTCTGTAACTGACTGATGTTCACTGCCATATCTTGAGTAAAACAATGATAGATTAAAGTGTAAGACAGGATGAAAATGTATTATGGTATTTGCTTTTTTTTCAAACCTTTCTTACCTGAAATTTGTCCCTTGACCTCGTTATAGTTGTTGTACAGTTTGTCGTATCTGGTCTGCAGCTGGTCTTTTTCCAAAGTGACTGACGACATAAGAAACACACCAACCCATTCACTTTAAACTAAAGACAGAATTAAGTTACTTTCCCTGCATAATTAAAATCACTCTCTATTTCAAACTGTAAGTCAGTTTTTTAGTGTCATTTAACCTGCCACGTACTATTACTGGATCACTGACTTGCCGACTGATCAAGTGTGATGAAGAACCAAAATGCAGATCAACAACATCAAGTAACTGTGGTTAAACGGCGTGAAAGGGTACATCCTGAATGCGGTATATTCAGCTGCCGTATAGAATAGCTCCAGACTCAAATGCCATATGATCAATAAAATGATTCATGTTTTGTTCCTGGCTCTGCAGTTATTCCTCTCTTAGTGTGACTGCAGTGTAAATGGGACATAAATACTTGTGAACAAATGTATTTTTCAGGCAAAGCTAGTATGAGGCTTCCTTCCAAAGTTCATTTGTTTTAGTACAATGTTCTCACTTGAATTTTATAATTCAGACTTCTGAATTCTCATAGTAGCTTCAGCTGAATGTTAGAATTTTTACAAGGAGCTGGCAGAAGGAATGTTTACAGCGACAAATAACTCAAATAGCTTTCAAAATGCACACGGCAGGTCAGTATTATATGATGAACAAACAAAACAGAACCTGTCCTTTAAAGTCTGAAGCTGGTGCTCTTCACCATTTGAACAAGACAGTCTCATCTTCCTCCAGCTTGTTTTATTAGGCTACGTTCACACTGCAGGCCTTAATGCTCAATTTCTCGATTTTTATCCCAGATCTGATTTTTTTAACAGTTCACATTATTGCTTAAATGTGGCCCATATCAGACTGCAGTGAGGATTAAAACAAGGAGAATGGTTCGTTCTTTCATTATTTCGTTTGAAAACCAAATGGAAAAACCAAAAAACAACTTGTTTTTTTTGGGGGGGGGGGGTTCGGTTTTAAAACCAAAACGGAAAAAAAGACAAACAGAAAACAAAAAAACAGACATTGGTTTTTGTTTTTCTGTTTTAAAACCAAAATGGAAAAATATTGATTTTGATATTTAATAAGTCTGATTTGTGCAGCTTTGTGTGTTACACTTGATAAAGCTGCAGCAGATACACTTGGGCGATGGCGGTGCCTGATTAAATGTAATTAAGATGAGCTTGAGGATCAACATAAGTGGGTTTTTAGTTAGAAAAACGGGACAATATCATAAAGCTGCAGTACCGGAGGCTGCAGGTAACCAGCTGCTTCAGATCAGCCCAAAACAAAATGCTTTCTTGATGCTGACATACTTAGAAAGTGTTTGTGGCTCTGTAATATAGTGTTCACTTCTACGATCAAATTCGCCACAGTTGTCAAAATTAAATATAAAATTAGTTGACTTTTTGTTTCACAGGATACACAACCACAAGTCTCAAAGGTCCTGGCCCTCCTTTCATCCCAACCATGTTCTCACTCAGTCTTTTCTCTTAAATAGCCTGTCACACACCTTCACAAAGTGACGCTACAGCGCTTCCCCCACTGCGTTGACCTATGACGCTATAGGGATCTCCAGTGTGTTCCCACCGCCGATAGGCCTTGACCATGCCGTATGTGACAAGTCAGGGAATGAGAACAGGTTGTAGGCATGATGCGAACTACGGGGGAGCCAGGGGGAGCTTAGCTCACCTAAATGAGACAACGGCTCCCCTAAAAGCATGACAGAAAGAAAGAGAGGGAGGGAGGGAGTTGTGGGGCAGTTACGTAGTACAGCGCAAGAAAGTTGTGAACACTTCATAAGTCATAATTCGGGAGAAATGTGACCTGTGAGAGGACAATAAAAAACGTGAGTCTCCCGTGAGCTAACCTCTGCGGCTCCTTGTTTACTTCTGTAGCCTGCAACAGCGTGCTACGTGTGGCGTTGTGTTATTCTTCTGCGGGTCACTTGGACAGTTCACACTGGAGTCTGATATGGGCCACAATTAAACAGTAATGTGAACTGTCAAACAAAAGAAATTGGATCTGGGGGGAAAAAAACAGAATTGAGCGTTAAGGCCTGCAGTGTGAACGTAGCCAAAGTGGCTTGGTCTGTTCACACTGTCATAAAAAGATCAGATCTGAGTCACATATGAGCAAAAATCAGATTTGGGTCACTTTGGCCTGCAGTCTGAACGCAGCCTTAGATCTGGTTGTGGAGAACTGGAAAGTACATTTTAGTGTAACTGAGCAAACTTTGGTGGAAAACATTTAATAAATGTGCTTCATAGACCAGTTGCAGCAGTTTTTCTGCATTGTGAACAGGTTCAGTATTTGGTTGTCAGTAGTTGTGGGGTGTATTTTATCTTACAACGTATGTATAGGAGGATGATTCCAGTTATGGTCAGAAAGCACAGCACTCCAAGACAAAATGCAGCAGCTCTGAAAGGCCTGCTTTGGACGGCTGGAGGATGATTCTCAGTGTGCGGTCCTAAAGTGGCAAAGCACACAGAGAGCGGGTTCATTAAAGGAAAACCACATGCGTCATGTTATCATTCCCCACACATAACATTTTAGTCAACAGCTTCACTGCCTTCATCTGTGGTTGTTCGACATCTGTATACAGCTGTGAAATGGAGTCTTAACATTACTAACCACTGATTATTTTAACAAATCACATAAAGACTGTTGTGTTGACCAATTATTATTGTGATGTAAAACAAATATCAACTTATCTGAAATGTAGAGTTTTAAAGGACAATTAAAATGCACAACTGACTCACAACTAAAAGCTGTTAAACTGACTTTGCATCGTCTCCTCTTGAGTCTCTCTCGGCTCTGTATTAATAACTTCTCTTCTCAGAAATTAATTAAATGTGACCATAATCAATATGAATGGTGCCCAAAACATTAGATCCAGGTTGTGTTCACAAATATTTTGTGGCAATTTCAAGAGAAGATTACAACAGAGAAGATTACAACACCTGAAATGAGTCATTTACTCAGAACATAATCCAACCAGCTACAGGAATACATGGATTGCATGTATGTTTCCTGTAGTTAGTTGGATTATGTTCTGCGCTGTGACTCTGATAGGCTGCAGTTTCATGGGATTGGAAATCTAAATATAACAAACTGAACTGAGAGTTAACTTAAAGGTCACACATTAGTGCAACATATCATAGATTTGTCATAATTTCTCACTTACCTCCGTCGTGTGACTGAAGATCAGTGTGATCATCTCTGATATCGTCTGTACTCTCGTAAATAGCCACCGTTCTTTCTTCCCACTCTACGTTGTCCTCCTGCACCTTTCTGTTGTATCTCACCTTCTTTGAGAAATCTGGTTTGGCATAAATATCTGAGGACATCTTGAGAGGACTGAGACAGTTGAACAGTAGCTGCACTTCACTTCCTGTAACTGCTCTGTGTTGATTGGTTACTATGCTGCTGTAAACCTTCAATGTGTACAAGTATACTCTGCAGTACTAACTGTAGTAGATATAAATTCATTAATTAATAAACTGTACTGATGCTGCTGTCAGTCTTGCATGACGGCTTCTGTCTGGTTTCAGTAGAGAAAAATGAGGAAGTAGCAGCAAAGAAACACACACACTCACTTTTTATTCATTTGACTCTTCTGAATACGGTTTGGTGGGTTTTGTAACTTCAGTTAGGAGACTGTGTGGCACATCTTTGTATTTACTGTATGAAACCATTTAGACAAATATAAATACATGGGTATAATACTGAAAATAATAATTAAAAAAATGATGTTGGAGATAAAACAACAATATGCATGTGTTGCAACATGAGCCACCCATTCATTCACACCATGGCTAACCTTGCTAACCCACACACACAGAGCAGAATAACAGTTTGGCCAAAACAGGAAATCACAGTCTCTGACATTTTCTACTGAGAAACTGAAATCATTTTCCAACCAAGTTGTAATGTTTAATGAAGTTATGATGGTCTGTGAAAGTGTCTACACCTTCGTAGACTCTCTACTCTCTCTCTACTCCATTTTCTTGCATGAAGAGCGACAGCATGGAGGTAGCTTCTCAACTGACTGCAAACATAATGTTGATATTAAACAATTCTTCATAACGTTCAGTGACAACAATTTAAAGGTTTGATGCTGACATGTTTTTACAATATTCTAAGGTCCTCACAAAAACTGATGTAAGATGTGAGGACTATGTCTATGTGTACCACCTGATCATCATAGCAAAGTCCTCACAGTGTAAAATATTACCTGGCAATGAAGCTCTTTCTGACTCTAATTATGATTGTTGTTTAGAATTAAGTGTGCACAGATTTCTTCCTCTTATACAAAGAGCGACAGGAGTAGGAACCTGTGTTGATTAGCTATAGCGTTCTTCCCAAAATAGTCTCTTGGACAAAACTACTGAAGAAAGTCACGTGACATTTTTTATAAAATACAGCTCACAGTCCCAAAAAGAGTTTTCAGATGTTTGTATCACAAAACTCTACCAGCTACGTTAGCACTCGGTCACAAACTGGCTGCGAAGAAAAACGAAGCTGCTGCACAGTCACAGCTGACACCACAATGCTCTCACTGCAATCCTCCCTCTGTAAGAAGTCTGAATAGAAACCTCTTCTAGAAAAATCCAGTGCTGGTTTGAACAGACCTCTGCGCACTAACTCAGACCTCATGAAGTCTGATAAGACTGGGGGCCAATCTGCTGGGTCATGTGGTGGAGCAGCAACCGTTCCATTGGGGTCTGAACTGCTTGTATCTTCAATATATAGACTTTAAATTGGTCAGAGGAAATTTAATAATATGAATTAATTCAATATTAAAGTTGTAAAGTGGTCAGCTTTTTGTGTGTATTGTGTGAGTGGATGACATCAATAGAGTGAAGCAGCCTTGGAAAATCTTCTTAAAATCTTCTCTTTAACTCGCCGTCATGCCAACAATTTTCACTGTTGACACACAAATAAATTGGTTTTGATATCTTTGTGGGGATGTTCATGCACACAGGCTAGTTCTGCTGTCATTGTCCAGACTTGCACAGTCTGTTTCACTAACAGATTGAGGATTTTAGTCACGGGACGTCTGGATCTCAAGTTATCAGAGAAACAGGCTCAGCAACGTTAGTGCCAACTAGAACAGAATAGCATCAGAATTTCCATACTTTCAAATGTTGTTGGTAATTTTAAGCCAGCTATCCAGTTTAGCATCAACTTTCAACAGCCCACATTCACACTGCAATTTCTTCAGAAACTGGATTCTGTAGTTATTCATCGACATTCTCTCAATAAGACAGCACCTATCCACTTCATAATGACCCATAGTGAACGGTGACTGATTAATGAATTATACATTTTTATAGAGCCACACAAAAATGTACATTAACGTCCTTTTAACAACATCATTTCAGACTTACTTGCTTTTTGTGACCCAGGATCAGCGTGATGTTTTCATCCTCTGAGATCTCCAGCTGATTCTCCTCTCCCGCTCCTCTGTTGTCTTGAACTCTTCCGGTATATCTCACATTCAAGCTTGAATCTGGTGCAGCGAGAATCCTTGCAGACATTTTGAAACACTGAAAACTTAGTGAACAGCTTCACTGTCTGCTTGTTTGTCTTTGGGTTGGGCAGCTTTCAAAAGAGGAAGTAACAGCAGGACTCACCACTGACACAGATGGACACCACAACATATGTATTATTGAAGACTTGACTTTAATTGAGGCATAAACTGCATAAAACTATATTTAAAGCTGAAACATAAAGATGTTTTTTGTCAGTGACATGAGGAAGTATATGGTTTTCACTCAACAGCAGGTTTGTGCTCACATTCACACATTTGTGCAAAGCTGCATTCATGTTCTCCATATAGTTTATTCACACATGCATCTTGACACAGGAAATGTGATGTGTGACCATATTTTTGTTCTGTCTAGTAGATGAAATGACGTGAAGTATTAATGGTTCAATGATGATGATAAACTTTAGATACATGATTTGTTACATCAACATATAACTGTTCTGTTGTAAGTTTATGAAGAAAAACAAAAGCGATGATTG